TGGACCGCTGTCCTGTCCAGGCTGTGTGTGTGTCCCGTGATGGACTGCTGTCCTGTCCAGTGTGTGTGTTTGTGTGTCCTGTGATGGACCGCTGTCCTGTCCAGGATGTGTGTGTGCCCTGCGATGGACCGCTGTCCTGTCCAGGCTGTGTGTGTGTCCTGCGATGGACCGCTGTCCTGTCCAGTGTGTGTGTTTGTGTGTGTCCTGCGATGGACCGCTGTCCTGTCCAGGATGTGTGTGTGTCCTGCGAAGGACCGCTGTCCTGTCCAGGGTGTGTGTGTGCCCTGCGATGGACCGCTGTCCTGTCCAGGGTGTGTGTGTCCTGCCTTGTGCTCAGTGCTTTCCAGATGAACTCTGGGCTGCCTGATTTTGACCTGGGAGAAGAGAAACCATTCTTTCTGTTAAGAGATGGAGGGAGTAGTTCTCTGCTAATAAGATCCAGCCGTGGTAGAGCTGCAGTTCCGACTTCCAGACACAAGAGGGCAGCAGAGACCGCGCAGAGCAGGGGTGGCTCATTGTTGGCTCCTAAACTGATTGCAATTGTTCAGTTCGCCAGAGCAATTTAACAGCCTTCCTCCAAGCTGATTACTTAGAGTGACATGTAACAGTAGCACGCAGTCAAAAACATCATGTTTTAAATGTAAATATTTATGTATGCGAAGGTGATCGTAGTTTAACGAGAGGTCTGCAGTCCGCCGGTACCGTTAAGCTCGGTTCAGTCTTCTGACGGCCGCTGGTAGTACTGGGTACAGCCACAGGGCGGCAGCAGTGCTGAGCGCTTCCGTAACACAGGAGACCAGAGCTCCAGAAGACACAGTCACACCTGAATACTCACCTGGAGTCTGGACAGCACTGATACTGAACACACTGACCCACACTGCCCGTGTCCAGAGTCTGGACAGCACTGATACAGAACACACACTGGCCCACACTGCCCATGTCCAGAGTCTGGACAGCACGGATACTGAACACACTGACCCACACTGCCCGTGTCCAGAGTCTGGACAGCACTGATAC